TATTGGTTCTACTTAATGCTCAGTACAGCCTTTCCAGGAATTAGAGGATCTCTGCCACCTCTACATTTCTTAGGTCTAATTCTTTAGCATTTTTCATCTACGTTACTCTGATAATTTGCAAATCATCTCCTAAGGCCTAGTATAAAATATAAACAAGCCAGTAGAAGTGCTTATTGAATTGGAGATTCTGAGTCAATATAAGATTCTCTGCCTCCAGGATCTTCCCATATGATGTTAATGCTGCTGGGTTATAGGCCACACTTCATGTAGCAAGCAAGCTAAGCCTTTCTGGGCATATTTCCATTCATCTCTTAATGGTCAACATCCAAAGTCAAACTAAGTTGTCTAGTCAATTTAGAATGGAGAATTATCAACTCCTTTATTATAGAATTCATCATATACCTTCTAGTGATATCTATGATTTCATGAGATTTTTGTAGTGGCATTCATGCATTATTTACTTAAAATAAGTTTACTAAAACCCTTAAAAGCTGTTGCACAGGCCTCTCCTATTACTCTGTTTTCTCTCATTTCATAAAGATCTGACATTGATGTCCTTGAATTTCATCACATTGGATAAAATTGAGCTCTCAGGCCAGTTTGGATTACTTGGTGTCTGTTGTCTGGTATGCTTAGCTTGGGCTTCTATTAACTTGATAGACCTTATGTTTTTCCATTTAAGTCTGCTGGAAACTTCTTTACATTAGTTGAAGTTCTTCTGTACAAGCCTTTCTCCCTTCTTCTTGTTCACAGGGATATTGTAGAAGACTCTTCAAGCTATTCAAAGATGTAATGTCTTTATTTGGATAAGATAGGTGATTTTCATGTAGAGGCAGAATTTATTACTCCATTAGAGATGTCTGTTTTTAATGGTTAAAAAGGCTTTTAGATGGCTATTGACACTCACTGATTGTAAATTAAAATAGCCGTTGATCACAGGGAATTTTACTCCCTGGGCTGTTCTTAATTTGTGTAATTTTTAAAAATGAATTGATCTCTTTTCCACTTCTCTGTTTTGCCTTGTGACCAGCATGCTGTATGTACCCGGAGGGGACATGGGCCTATGAAAACTCCCTCACATTTTGTATCCCCAAAGTGATTTCCTCATGAGTTACAACATGGTTAAAATAAAGAAGCTTTGTCCCCTGACTGTGCTTATTCTATCTGGGTGTGAGCCTCTGTTCTGTGAGGTAGACCTCAATTCAACCCCTTTCCTTATTTCCCAACCTAAATTCTGCCCTGTACATGTGGTGGTCTGTGCAATCCCTGGCTGAGGGCCAGTTGTCTTGGATGCTCTCCTTCCCACCTGGGGAGGTGAAGCAGGGTGTGGCAGAGGGGGAAATAGCGCCTCACCATCAGTTTTTTACTGCAGCAGTGCATATGTTACCATGTATGGAAATTCACCTCTACAGTTAACTGGCTAGCAGTCTCCATTCATCTTGAAGAAGCGTTAGGTGGAGTATCATTCTTGTCACCTGCCTGCCCACATCTCTCATGTGCCCGTTTGTTTAGTCAGTACCATTGATTTCCTGTTCTGTGCCAGCCATGTGGCATTAAGTGGTGAGACCAACTTGCCCCTGTTCTCCCACAGTCCTAAAGTACTACCCCTTTGTGATGAGGGTTTTAAGAGATACTTACATTGCCTTTATTCTTCTTGTTCTCAACAGGTTTATGTCCGGATAAAAGATGATGAGTGGAATGTGTACCGACGATACACAGAGTTCCGGGGTTTGCACCACAAGCTGCAAAACAAATACCCTCAAGTGCGGGCCTACAACTTCCCACCCAAAAAAGCCATTGGAAATAAGGTATCATCCTCCAGGGGGACCAGAAGCCCTCCAGCCATAGACTGTATTAAGGCAGATCATTTTTATTTCTTTCATCTATTAGTTTGACATAGTGCTTTTTTAAAAGAAAAGTTGGCCAAAAAAATAGAAAAAGGAAAGAGTTACTCATGATTCCCTCACCTGCAGATATTACCACTGTCCTTGTTTATGAGTTTCTTGAGAACAAGGGCTGGCCAACTTTTTCTTTAAAAGACCAAAAAGCACAGATTCCTCCCACTCCTTTTGAGACAGAGGGTCTCACTGTGTAGTTCAAGCTCACCTTGAGCTCACCATATTGTCCAGGCTGGCTTCAAACTTGGAACAATCCTTCTGCTTCAGCCTCCCAAGTGCTAGGATTACAAGTGTATACCACCACACCTGGCCAAAAAGCAAACATTTTTGGCTTTGTTAAGTATAGTAAGTTCTCAACTTACAAATAAGTTCCACTACAGGAGAACATTTGTGAGTCAGATTCATTCATAAGTGTGACAGAGGAAGTTTTATACACTTTTGACACAAATAGGTAATGTATATTGCTTTTCACTTCCTAGCAGTCACCTTCCTATCACCGCTGCTTTTCCTCTTGCTTCCAGATATCCTGGCCTCTGGTTGAGCACTGTACTACTGCACACCATTGCACTGCTCATTGAGTACACAGCAGCATAAGTATGATAAGTCCAGCAGACATGAGATTTCCAAGACTTGTTCACATCTACACATGTTCATAATGTGAGGTCCATTCATACCTTTGAACATTTACAACTTACATGTTTGTAAGTTGGGCACTCACTGTATACCATTTAAGCAGAAAATTCTCAGCTCTGTCAGTGTACTGTGAATACAACTGTAACAATGTGAACACACATGGATGTGACTACAAGCCTTCAAATTTTGTTTTTAAGGATACATGTTAGCTGAGTTTAGCCCATGGCTCATAGTTTGCATACTCCTACTATGGAACCCAATTTTTTTCTAGTTTTCTTCAATAATTGTTATGATACTCATCTAGCTACATAGATATGGAGGAGGACTTTCTCAGAGGAGTTTCTTTTATTATAGGGCCATTACCATCATAAATGTTAATGATTCATGATGATGAAATTTGTTTCATCAGGGTCCTGGTGCCCCTGAGGAAGGAGGTGCTGCCTTTGCTGGTTGATTAGTTTCACTGGCCAGCAGGCATTTATTAAACATCTCTTATTTGTCCCTGTGTAAGAAACCTGCCCATGCCTAACACAGAAGGAGGGGTCTGGGCTTAGTGTAGTGCCTGTTCATTGTCTGTCCTAACTAGTTTGCATTCTTTGTCCTCCTGTACTTTGCATCACTTGGGGAGCTCTAAGTCACTTCCCATCCCTTCCTTTCCCTCCCTATTCTGGTTCCCTCCTATTCTGGTTCCCTGTCTATTCTGGTTCCCTCCCTGTTCTTGGTTATGCTGGGACATTGAAGGGTTTAACAGCTGTCTAGGTGGTTTAGGATGAGCCAAGCTTGAGCACTGCAGCTCAGAGTCAAGTAGAAGATAAAAGTGCTTCAACAATTATAGTACTATGTACCTCAGTTCAGAAACTTATTCTATGATTCTGGGGAAAACGGTCACATTTGTATTCATGCAAAAAAGATGGTTGTGAAAGCGCCTGCAAGCAGGTGCACAGGGAAGGGGTTTGATTCCTGGACCTGCAGTGCTGGCCCCACCCCTGGGGCACGCTGAATCAGCAATTGAGACTGGGCGTGGTGGCACACACCTGTAATGCTAGCTCTTGGGAGGCTAGAAACAGGCAGATCACTACAAGTCTGATCTAGTAGTGAGACCCTGAATACCCTATAGACCCTTCCCTAAAATATAGGGGGAAAAAAGATGGCTGTGGTCATATTCATCAGCGTGATGCAGAGTTTGCAAACAAAAACAAAATTTGTCAATCACTTCTGTGTGTGAACCAAACTGTGAATCAAATTGTTTGTGAACCAAATTGTTCACAAACAGAAGTGCTCATGAACCGAGGTATGTTACATAGGTTGGCAGTCAGACAAGGCAGCCATGGCTTTTCTTAGGACATGAAAGAAAATGAGGATTTCATTGAGGATGATCCCTCAACTGTGTTCCTTCTCAGAGTGTAGCTGCTGGCTGCTAGCTGGCAATGTCACTGTTGCCTTACAGCCTGGTAGAAATGCACATTCCTTTGTGCATGTATGTGTGTGAACATGTGTATGGGGATCAAACTTGGGGCTAGGCAAGTGTCTTACCACTGAGCTATATTCACAGCTAGAAATACACATTCTTGGCTTTATCCTAGACCTGCTGTCTCCAGAACTCAAGAGCTGAGTCCCAGCAGTGTCCCTTAATTAGTCTGGTAGCTGGTACTGATGGACAAGGAAGTGTGAGAGCCACCCTCCTATGGCACTGAAAAAGTATGTGGCAGGTTTTATATGTGGTGGATTTCCTAGTTTCTCTCTTCAGAAGGCCCTTGGACCTTTGCCATACAAAAGCCAAGAAGAGTCTCTGTAACCTGTGCCAACATCTGGCAATTTTATAGAAGGGACTATGATTACCAACTGCTGTGTTTATATGTGCATAGGATTCCATGTTAAGTCCATTTGCTTGAATGGTTGGCCCACTTCTGACATTGATTTGTTGATTTTCTTTTGACTGAAGGTATTGAGGCCCTTCATTATAATTCTGTTGAAGTTTATCTGATCTTTTATGATGTTGGTCATGCCAGTGTTTGGTACATATGTGTTTATAACTATTATCTCTTCCTGTTGAACTGTTCCTTTAATCCATATATAGTGACCTTCTTTGCCTCTTCTAGACAATTTTGTGTTAGAATCCATTTCATAGGAAAATAGGACAGATGTTTTTGCTTATTTTTGAGTTCCTATTCAAGGAATATTTTCTGTTCTTTGAGTTTTAGTCTGTGACTGCCTTTTTAGATTAAACTATTAGAAATGTTAACAAAAGTTCTGTAAGATATCAAATGAATAATTTTAAAGCAGTTTTATTATAGGCCCAGAATAAATGTCCTCCATCTTTCTGTTGAAGAAAAGCAGAGTGGAGCCCACACATGTAGAAGATTTAAAAATTCTACACTTGATCATAACCAGGATTACAATAATTCTTTTGAGAAGGAAACATACACTGATTTAACCTAATGACTTATAAGCTCATATAAATCCTGAGGCCCATGTAGAAAGTCTGAAAATATCATAAAACAAAATTCTGCCTAACCTCTGTTATCATTTTAAGATGCTGTCATTTGCAGGCAGATCCACGAAAGCCTTCAGTAAAGTAGGCCTGACAGCTCGACCACAAGGCTGAATCAAGGGGATACAGATGGTAATATACCTTACATTGCCTTTTAGTTTCTTATTGCTGCTGTCACAGATTACTATAGATGCAGAGGTCTAACCCAACACAGATTTGTTACATCACAGTCACTGAAGTCAGAAGATCAAACTCAGTCTGATAGGGCTAAAATCAGGTGTCATCAAGGCACATCTTTCTGAAGACTCCCAGGGAGAATCAGCTTCTGATTGTTCTACATTTTTGGCTTGTGACCTTCTTCTGCCTTCACAACCAGCAGTTATATCTCTCTGACATCTGCTTCCGTCTTCATTGTCATATATTGTTCTCTGATTCTGACCCTTGAGATCAGAGTCGGTCCTTCCAGATAATCCAAGATAATCTCCATGTCAGGATCATTAATTTAATCATATAGGCTAAATCCCTTTGCCTTGTATGATTCTGGGACATCTTAATTACTTTTCCCATTGCTGAGACAAAATACCCAATGTTCCAAATTAAAGGAGGAAAGATGTATTTAGCTCACAGTTTATGGAGATTTCAGTCCATATTCAGCTGGCTCCAAGAGAGGGTGATGTGTGACACAGGGGCAGAAGTTCATGGCAGTGGAAGACGGCAAAGTAACTAAGGCAAAAGGGAAGAAGCAAGACTTTCCCTGCCTTATATTTTACAAGCCACCCACCCAAAGGCAGGTGTAGCATGCATTCCCACAATCCCAGCAGTAGACAATGAACCAATCACAAACTCTAGATTCAGCTTCCTCTGAAAAGCCTACTCTCCATGACTACGTAAGGCTTTTGGGGGACATCTAAACACAGACCATAACATGGGGATTAGGATGTCACTGGGAGCCATTTTTCAGCCAACCGTATTTTATATATTATTAAATATTTTTTCTGTAGCCTAAAGCAGCTCCCTTACCATCTCATAATTCTTCAAGCCAGGCAATTACATGAAACATGTATAAAATAAAAAGAATCTGGGCTGGCAAGATAGCTCAGCGGTCGAAAGCACCTGCTTAGGCAAGCTTAGGTAAGCACAGGGACCGTGGTTTGATCTCTGACACCATATGTCAAGCCAGCTCTGCCCCTGGGGTGGGCTGAGCCAGCCACAAAAATAATATAACATAACATAACATAACATAACATAACATAACATAACATAACATAACATAACATAACATAACATAACATACCAAGAACGCTAGTCCTAAGATGCTGGAGTGTGAAGGTCAAATTCAGAGAGATGAAGCTAAGTCTGAGAAATAAGACTGTTTTTGGAGTGACCTCATTCAGAAAGGGTTCTGAACCAGTTGAAGCAGCAGAGACTATGCATGAGTTCCCATGGAAGGAATCCTCAAGACCCTACCTCATATCTCTACCCTCACCTCTAGGTTAGAGCAGACAGGTCAGCAGTATCTTATCCTCATAAGTTTATGTGCTAATAAATGAGTTTGGAGATGGAGAGTACCACTTTGTGGGCCTGATCCAGTGAAGACTGGCTTATCAAAGTGCACTAGCTAGCTTATAGTCAGATGTATGGTCCTGCTCCTAATGGACAAAGTCGGAACTGACAGCACATGACCTCTCTAGCCTATGGTGCCCTTTAACTTTTCGTTGGCTGGTTGGACAGTGATTGAACTTGAAGTCCTCTTTCCTCTGCATTTGGTTAAGATATACTCACTTCT